ACTGCCAGCTATTGTTTGATAACACTGAAGTCGGGGAGTTTGCACCTGGTCCTATTCCCTAGCTTTCTAGTGGGGGAATGGAGCCACCAGAGAGAAGGGACTTGGTAAAAGCCCAACTGGAGAGCAGGCTCGGACTGGGGTGGGCTCAGCCGTTGGCCTTTCAGCCCACAGTTCTTTCCATAACCAGCCAGAGGTTCTGCCAGGTACTGACTGCAGTATATGGGGCCTGACCACCCCGAACAGCTTCCTGGTTCTGAGCACTTGGAGTTCCAGCATCAGAGGCTGCTTCCTTTGGAGGGCAAAGGGAATTGAAGGCCCCTTGGTCTTCAGGGAGCCCCAGCTCATGTTGAGAAAGAAGTCCAGTGATGAGTCCTCTGATAAGCTCACGTCAGCCTGTTCCCAGGAGGATGAGCTGGCTGACCAGCAGCCAAGGGCGAGATGCCGTGGGAAGGAGATCCTGACTGACTGGGGGCCTGAGGAATGTGGGAAGCACCAGGCAGGCAGAGCAACAGGGTGGGGAGGTTGTGTTAGCCTCAGAAGGTCAGGCAGCTGTGAGAGCCAGGACTGAGGTTGGCTCTATGTCAGTGCTATGGTGCTGACTTGCTTCTGTGTTTATCCTGAGGATTTTGCATGCCAGGAAGTTGCCAGTCCTGGGTGGTGGTTACCATGGCAACTATCTCTGCTCTATAGTGACCAAGGAGACTGTTGCCATGACTATGGCTGCCAGGTAAAAGAGACAAATGATTGGCTATCAGTTCCTCCTTGAGAAAGATTCTTCCTCCCCTCCTCCTCCTCCTGCCGCCAACTGCTAAAATTCAGTGGGTGTGGGCCAGATACAGTGGCGCCCAATGGAAGTGTCAGACACCAGAGACCAGGTGTACTGCCACCTAGATGCAGGCTGACATTCTGTGAAACGGGGTAAATCTCTGCTTTTGTCTATGCCTCAGTTTTCCTATCTGTATAATTCAAAGACTGGACAAGGTCCCTTCGGTTGTAAATTGAGGTTGCCTTTAATTGGGAAACATATTGGAAACCAAAGGGTTGTTTCAAAAATAATGAGACCAGTGTCAAAAGCTGTCCTAAGGACCCTAACTGATGATACTTACTGCCTCAATGGCACTGATGTGTCAGGTATTGCCCTCTCTGTGACTGTGAGGAGGCCTGAGGAGGCTTTCAAAGAGTCTGGAGTGTTCATTGTGTTTTGGGGGAGTGGTACTAGGTACTCCATATAGAGCCATTAATAATTACCAGGATGCTATAGATTTCTTTTTGGATAGCCTCTGATTATATAGACACTGATGGCCTCTAACTTAGGATCCTCCTGTTTAGCCTCCTCATTGCAGGTGTATGTCACCACACCCAGTTTATGTGGTTCTCGGAATCAAACTGAGGACTCTATCAGCTTAGCCACACCCCCAGCTCACAGTATGATCACACGCTTGCATCAGAGCCTGAGGTTTGCTGTGGTGGAGTTTATGAGCACTGCACTTTCTGATGTCAGAGAGATCAGGTTGCATCTGGCTTAGCTGATGGCTCTCAAGCCAGCCCAGCCTTGGTAGAAAGATGTCAGGATAAGCACATCTGTCTCTCTAGTCCCCACCTCCCTGGGTTTGCTAGCCTGGGCTCCAAGAATGGCTGATAGTTTGAGAAACAGGCGGAGCATGGCATGAAATGGCAGGGCCTAGGAACCCAAGGAGGAAGCAAGGAGCTTGGATGCTTCTCCTGGGGCAGATGCCAGGTCTGTAGCCTCCAGGATCTGCCCTTCCCCCTGCAAGCCCAACAGTCCCGCCCCTTGCCTTTCATAGCAGGACTTTGCAAACAGTCTCTCCGGATGGACACTGGACACGGCTGCACCTCCTCCCTGCACACTTTCCATTCCCAGACTGAGCCTCAGCCAGGGTTCCTCAGGAAAATTGGCTGAAAGAGACATTTTCCATGCTCTTGACTCCTTTGACTGCCGGCACTCTTCAGCCTCTTCTCCCCTTAGTGACCCACACCCAGAAAGCAGGGATGTTGTTTGGTCAACCTGCTGTCATTCACCCACCACTTAGCTTGAAGTCATTTTGTCTCTCTATCCTCAGTGTTCTAGACTATGAAACAAGCTGCTCAGGCTGCATGTGGTACTGCAGGCCTGTGATCCCAGCACTTGAGAGGAGGGGCAGAAGAGCAATTTGAGTCTAGCCTGGGTATATGGTGAGACCTTGTTTCAAGATCAAACCCAGGAGGCCGAAATGACGTCTCAATTGGAAAATACTGTGCAAGTATGAGGACCAGATTTGGATCTTCATCATTGACAGGTAGTCATGACAACACACCAGGAATCCAGCACTCAGGGAGATGGAGACAGGATCCCTGGGGCAAGCTGGTCAGCTGAACTAGTCTAATTGGTGAGTTCTGGGTTCAAGGAACAGATCCCGTTTCAACAAATAAGGTGGAGAGAGATTTCAGAAGGCAACAGATGTCAACCTCTGCCTTCACCAGACATGCACACATGTACACCTCCATACATGCCTCTGCACCCATGTATGTGAATAGGTATTCACACAGGTAGAGCATGAGAATGGACACATGACACACCACACACACACACACACACACACACACACACACACACACACACACACAGAAAAGGGGGCTGGGGAGATGGCTTAGTTGGTAGAGTATCTGCCATACAAGTAAAAGGGACTGAGTTCAGAGCTCCAGAATCCAAATAAAAAGCTGGGCACAAAGGCACAGGCCTGTAACCCTTAGCTGTGGGGGTAGGGAGCAGGGACAAACAGAGATCCCTGAAGCTGGTTGGCTAATTTAGCCAAACCAATAAGCTGCAGATTCAGTGAGAGACCCTGTCTGAAAAAGTAAAGGTAAAGCTAGGCAGGGTGGCCTGCACTTTTAATCCCAGCACTCAGGAGGCAGACACAGGCAGATCTCTGTGAGTTTGAAGCCAGCCTGGTCAACAGAATGAGTTCCAGGACAGCCAGAGCCTTATGGAGATACCCTGTCTCAAACAAACAAAAAGTAAAGGTGGAGAGTGACAGAGGAAGGACATCTGGTATTGACCCTGGGCGGTTACATGCCTCTGCACACATGTTCATGTACAAACCCACAGACAGGCTTTCTCTGTGTAACAGCTCTGATTGTCCTGGAACTTTCTTTGTAGATCAAGCTGGCCTCAGACTCACAGTGATCCCCTGACTCTGCCTCTTGAGTGCTGGAATTAAAGGCGTGCGCCACCACCACCTGGCTGGTATTTCTTATTTTGTCTTTCAAATTATATATTGCTTGTGACTTTGCACAAGGGTTGAATCTGCACTCTCCTCAAATGTAAAATGCCCAGCTCTTACTACTGTGGGAGTTGATGAAGTAGCTGTGTTGCATATCTCTGGGCTCAATGACATCTACTTCAACCTTTTGTTGTGAGACAGGGCTTTATTATACAACCAAGCTAGACTTTGAACTCAGGATCCCCCTGCCTCCTGGGGACTGTGGTTATAAGAATGCCTTCCTGCACACTTCATTGATCTGAGCTGCGTAGGTTCTCCTTAAATCAGTCTCTTGCTAAATGTAATGAGAATTTCTTGATCCCACAGAGATGAACAACATTGCATTTTTGGTAATGTAGAAGAAATGAAAAATAAAAAAGACCACTTATCTTCTACAGGATATATGGAGTTGGGATGAAAAGATAAGCAATCACTGTTAATGGCTGACACCTCCAGGCAGTGGCAGGGGCTTGGGGAAGGGCATGGAAGGAGTTCTGCGGCAGATACCATAGTTCTGTCCAATGGTCCCCATGTCGTTACAGAAGTCATCTTGTTTGGAAAACTGAGGGGATGAAGCAGGATTGGCCTAAAGCAGGTGCGGTAACCTCATTCTCATCCCCTCCCCTATAGTGGCTTTTCCAGCTTCCCTTGCAGCTAAAGGTAGTAAGATTTATTTTGGTCAGTGAACTGTAAACCAAAGTCTCCTGGTAAACAATTTCCCCTTTGATTAAAAGACAGAGGAGAGAGGAGGGAAGAAAAAGATAGAAGGAGCAAGAGAAAGAGAGACGGAGGGAGGGAGAGACAGAGAGAGAGGGGGTTCTTTCTTTCTGACATTGTCCTTTCTGACTAGTTGTTTGGGATACCAGTCTAAGGATGGAATGCTTGGAATTGTGGTAGTCATATTACAGCCATGAGAAAAGCCTGACAGAATTACAGAGCTGCAGACTAGGGTCCTCACCTTTTAGGGCTGGTGAATCAACCCAAAATTGCCCACCTCTGGGCATCTAGGTAGAAAATGTTCTTAGAAGGCTCCCCTTCATGCACAGCTACAGGCAGCTTCATAGATAAGGGAATCTTTGAAATTCATACCGAATATCCTCCATTGTTTTGATTTATCCTTCGAATGAAAATGTATTACTGCTGTAATTCTAAGTTCGATTTGAAATACACACCACCTGGCATTGGGCATCCTTGGTATTCCAAGTGGCAGGAAGAGGCACTGTTGGAAAGAGAGCTAGTGAGGAGTGAATAAAAGGAACACACTGTTCCTTGTAATCGTGTCCTAAAGGCGAGGCGTGGCCTTGCAGACTGGGGGGGGGGGTGATAATCCGTTCCTCATCTCTGTTCAGGTTTTCATCAGAGGTTGTAAAATGGTAGTCTCTGGTTAGACTTTAGACTAGGGATGGTAGACATGTCTTGCCTGTTTTTTATTTTTATTTGGTTTTATTTTATTTTGTGTGTATGGGTGTTTTGCCTGCATGTACGTCTGTGTGCCATGTGCCCACAGAGGCATGGTGATTGTCTTAGTTAGGGTTTCTATTTCTGTGAAGAGACAACCACAACTCTTTTTTTTTTCCTGACCCCACAGAGTCCCAGCGGGGGGTTATTTATTTGCTCTGTCTCTTCCCCTCCTTTTGAATGGAGGGGCCTTGGGTGGGGTAACTAGTCCCAGGGATGAGGATGCTCATCTGTGGCTCAGAGGGAAAACCACACCTGACTTGAGGAGAGCCAGGAGTCCCCTCAGTCCCACCCAGCATGTCCTGCACTTCCCTGGTGACATGGGTGACAGGACACAGAGTTCAGCAGAGTGCTGCAGTGTGAGCTGTAAACAGGGTCACACCAGCTCCTGTGGGAACCAGTGTGCCAGACAAGGAGTTGGGGCAAGTATGCCTGAGGAGGGGAGGCGGCAACCCATGGCAGGTGAGAGTCACAGCTCTGAGCCGTGCTGCCAGACTTGAAAGCCCCGGGCCTGTGAGACACTGCTGTCTTGGTCACTTCAAATTCCTCATTTTTAAGGGGGACATCACTCTGTCTCTCAAACGCAGCTTTGGAATAGGCCATGGTGAACTCCATCTCAGCACCCGGCAGCTCGGCCATGAACTGTGTGAAGTAGAGGTAGGACTTCTCCTGGGGCCTCCAGATGGTACAAGTGAAGTGCTGACTGTCTTCATTCGTCCCCAGACTCATCTGCCATTGCTCGTTGGTCCCTTCTTGGGAAGCGTATGTGAACGTGCACGTAAACTTGCCCCGGGCCCCTACGTCCTGGAAGAAGGAATGTAGGACGCCTCCTGGTCTCACATCGTGGGGACAGTGGTGAGCTCGGACACAGAGGCCACCAGGAGCAGCGCGGTCCAGAAGGCTCCACTGGGCGCCGCTGTCTTGGTTGGAACCACAACTCTTATAAAGGAAAACATTTAATTGAGTGGCTTACAGTTCAGAGGTTAAGGCTATTATTGTCATGGTGGGACATGGCAGTGTACAGGCAGACATGGTAGCTGAGAGTTCTGCGTCTTGTGCAGGCAACAGGAAGTGATCTCTTTTACTTGGGTGTGGCTTGAGCATATATGAGACCTCAAAGCCTGCCTCCACAGTGACACATTTCCCCCAGTAAGACCCCACCTACTCCAACAAGGCCACTCCTCCTAATAGTGCTCTCCCTTTGGGAGGCATTTTCTTTTAAACTACCACATTCCACTCCTTGGCCCTCAAAGGCTTTGTAGCCATATCATAAATGCAAAAATGCATTCAGTCTCTCTTCTGAGAGCCATGCAATCTTTTAACTTTAATCCTCTGTCAAATAAAAATCAAAAGGCAAATCACATACTTCCAACATATAGTGGTACAGGATATACATTGCTATTCCAAAACATAGGGAAGAGAGCATAGTGAGGAAACACTGGACCAAAGCAAGACCCAAAACCAGCTGAGCAAGCTCCAAACGCTGCATCTCCATGTCTGATATCAAAATTCTCTTCAGATCTCCTCTTTTCAGCTTTGTTGACTACAACACACTTCTTTCTCTTTGGCTGGTTTCACCCCTGTTACCAGCTTTCCTTGGTAGGTACCCCATGGCCCTCTAAGGCAATCCAGCTTCAACTTCACAGCTTCACACAATGGCCTCTCGAGATTTTCATTCCGGGACACCTCTGACACATGCCTGGCCTCAGCTGCTTTCCTTAGTCATGGAGGCAAATTCCATAGCCCCTTTCTTCTATCCTTAACTCTAGAACCATGTGGCCAAAGCTACCAAATTCTGCTGCTTACTGGGGCTGAACATAGCCCCCTCATTCAATTATATTTTCACCAACTTTCTGTTTTTGATAGTTTCCTTCATTGCCTAAGCTTGGATGTCCTGGAATTTGCTCTGTAGATCAGGCTGGCCTCAAACTCAGAGATCTGCCAGCCTCTACCTTCCCAGTGCTGGGATTAAAGGCATGTGCCATCTCATCTGGCACTAAGCTTTTCTTTAATTCCTTTTTACATGTTGGAAATTTATCTTGGTGGCATTTTGCCCTGAGATTACCACTCCCTTTGTTCCATTTCTTAATCTATTTTTCTCCATGAACAAAGAATTTAGCTCCATTTCATTTCCTGGTGCTCAAATTTTACATTTTTCCCCTCTTATTTGGCTTGTTCCTTTTCAGTATAAATCTTTATAAGCAGGAACACTAGTAACCACACAACAAAATCTATACGAGGCTTTTGAGATAATCTCTGCCAATGAAATTAATCCAAAACTCTTCACTTTAGCCTCAGGCAGACTCTTTGGCCAAGGGCAAAAAGCAGCCACTCTCTTCACCATACTATCACAAGAACAATCTCTAGGTGACACACCAAAATTTTTCTCCCTGAAACCTCTTGAGCCAGCCCCCAATAGTTCAAATAATTCTTTGTACCACTGTCTTCTATGCTCCTACTAGTATGGCCCATTTAAGTAGCACTTAAAGTGTTCAGTTGTTTTTCTAATACACAGTCCGATGGCCCATATTCCTTCAAACAAAAGCATGGTCAGGCCTATCACAGCAATATCCCAGTCCCTAGTACCAATTTCTGTTTTAGTTAAGGTTTTTATTGCTGTGAAGAGACATCATGACAATGGCAATTCTTATAGAGGAAAACATTTAAATGGGTGGCTTACATTTCAGAGGTTTAGTCCATTTTCATCATGGTGGAACATGATGGTACACAGGCAGACATGGTGCTGGAGAGGTAGCTGAGCGTTGTACATCTTGTGTAGACAACAGGAAGTGGTCCGTCTCATTGGGCGTGGCTTGAGCATATATGTGACTTCAAAACCTGCCTCTGCAACAGGCTTTCTTTTGGGCCACTTACCAGCTCCCAAATCATGACACAGAGACTTATTATCAGTTATGAATGCCCAGCCTTATCTTATGCTTGTCCCACTAGGTCCTATAACTTAATTTAACCTGTTTCTCTTCATCTATATTTTGCCTTGGGGCTTTTTTTTTTTTTTTTTTACTTTTCTTTCATTCTGTATGTCCTACTCTATGTCTGTCTGGTTGATGGCTGCCTGGCTGGCTGGCCCTGGGTGTCTCCCTCTCTTTTGTTCTTCATTCTCCCTTTCTTTCTCTTCTCTAGCCTATATTCCTCCTCCTCCTCCTTATTGTCTCTGCCTGCCAGCCCTGCCTATCCCCTCTACTGCCTAGCTATTGGCCATTCAGGTTTTTTGTTTGTTTGTTTGTTTTTGTTTTTGGCTTTTTGAGACAGGGTTTCTCTGTGTAACAGTCCTGGCTATCCTGGAACTCACTTTGTAGACCAGGCTGGCCTTGAACTCACAACACACCTCCACAGTGACACACTTCTTCTGATAAGACCACATTTACTCTAACAAGGTCACACCTCCTAATAGTGCTCACTTTGTGGGCCATTTTCTTTCAAACCATCATGGTAATACGAATCTTTAATCATCTTTAATCTCAGCCATTAGAAGGCATCTTGAGGCAGAAAGTGTTTATTTGGGCTTGAAGTTTCAGATGAATAAGAGTCCATTATGGCAGGGATGCATGGTAGCTGGAGCAGGAAACAGAGAGAGTGAACTGCTAGTGAGGCAGCCTATATACTTTCTTTTTTTCTTTTTTCTTTTCTTTTTTTTTTGTGTTCGAGACAGGGTTTCCCTGTGGCTTTGGAGGCTGTCCTGGAACTAGCTCTTGTAGAACAGGCTGGTCTCGAACTCACAGAGATCTGCCTGCCTCTACCTCCCGAGTGCTGGGATTAAAGGCATGAGCCACCAACGCCCGGCCCCAGCCTATATACTTTCAAAGCCTGCCCCAGTGACGTACTTCCTCCAACAAGGCCACACCTCCTAAACCTCTGTAAACAGCCCCAACAACTAGGGACTAAATGCTCAAATGCCTGAGTCTATGTGGAACATTTCTTATGCAAACTATCACCTGAGACAAGTTATTCTGCACCTTGATGCTCTCTGAAGTCTACCTGTGACTTCCATAATTTATGTGATCTAACTCTGAATGTTTTCAGTTAGTGACCGTCGGGGTGTGTGTGTGTGTGTGTGTGTGTGTGTGTGTGTGTGTGTGTGTGGACCCTTGTATATAAAGGGGTTGGCGACTGTGGAAATGGCTGTGGGCAAAGCATGAGGACCTGGATTTGGATCTCCAGCACTCACGTAGCAGTTAAGTATGGCGTTGTGCGTCTCTAACTCCACTGCTGGTGGGCAGAGACAGGCAGGTCCTGAGGAGTTGCTGGCCAGCTAGAAACAGCAAATGCCAGGTTCTGTGAGAGACTGTCTTAAAATAAGATGAAGAGGCCTGGAGGAAGAGGCCTGCATCTGTCTGAAGAGATGAACCAGTGGTTAAGGGCATTTGCTGCTCTTGTAGAGGACCCGAGTTTGGTTCTCAGCACCCACAATGGGTAACTCACAACGGCCTGTAATGTCAGCTCCAGGAAACCTGACACCTTCTTCCAGCCCCCTTGGGTGCCACTGCCAGGAAAGTGGCATATATACACAGATGCATATATATTTAAAAAGAAATCCTGCAGGTGCATGGAGGTACATTTTAGTACCAACACTCAGGAATCAGAGGTAGATGAATCTCTATGAGTATGAGGCCAGGTTGGTCTGCATAGGGAGTTTCAGGTCAATCAGGGTTGTACAGTGAGACTCTTTAAAAAAACAAAAGCAAAACCCAGCTTTTTGTTTTGTTTTGATTTGAGACTAAGACAGGGTCTCACTGTGTGACCATGACTGGCCTGAAACCAGCTTTGGAGACCAGGTGGTCCTCTGCTTCCTGAGTGACTGGTTTGAAAAAAAAAAAATCTTAAGCTACCTGACACATTCATGTACAGGCATATGAACCTACTTGTTCATGTAGCTTCATATGTGTTTGTATACTAACACACACACACACACACACACACACACACACACACACACACACACACAACAAAGAGGCAATCCTGTACGGTCTGTGTGGGCCTAGTGTAATCTCAAAGTGGAGGGGAAAGCAAAAGAGGGGTTGGAGAGATGGAGTCCGCACTTGGCTTGACATGACCAGCATAACAAGGGAGCCATGAGCCAAGGAAAATGATTGCCTTCTGGGAGCTGAAGAAAAGGAAGTGTCTTCTCCTCCAGAGCCTCCAGAGGGTACTGCTGCCACGATGCTGTGCCACAATTTGGCCCAATTGTAATATAACAGACCTGTGCTATTGGAAGTCACTGAATTGATGGTAGTTTGCCGTAGGGAGTGATAGGCTTCTCCTAGGTCTATCAGACCTCACTAGCTCTAGAACAGTTGTAGTTATGATTTTGGTGACTTTGGAGGTTACTACCTTCAAGGACTTGCTGAGGAATTTAAATAAGGTGACAGATGATTTTTTAAGTTTTCCTGAACAGGGTTACTACTGGTGAGGTGAAGCCCAGCTCACAGGTCCACAGAAACAGGATAGCTTCACTGAAAACCAAATTCAATAGTTTTACTTGGGAGATTCTTGGGAAATATCCAGACAGCCAGACCACGCTAGTGTGCATGGTTCAGGGCTGTTGTAACTTGTTAATTTAGATTCATCTCTATGTAAAACGAATATTGTCTCGATGTTGGCCACTTTCTCAGCAAATGGTGTTAACTTCTCAGCTGGCGAGAGACTCCAGCCAGACTCCAGACACAGGGGTCCTTTTCCTTCCCATGCTCCTGTCGCCTTCCTGGTCTCTCTGTCCTGCCTCAGACCCACTTTTTTCTGTGTGAGTTCCTGACACATAGTTTCTGGGTGGGAACAATGGTGACTTTTGTGCATTTGCATGGCAGGGCAGCTTTAAGGCAGCCCAGGGTGGGGAGTAGAGACCCGTCTCACATGCCCCTTCTTTTGTTTCTGAGAGGTAGGTTTTCCCTGTATGTAGCTTTTCTTATTACATTTGTCTATTGTCTATCTATCTATCTATCTATCTATCTATCTATCTATCTATCTATCTATCATCTTGTGTGGGTATGGTTCTTTTCTTCCACTTTATGGGTTCCAAGGGTTTGAACTCATGTCTTCAGGCACAGTGGCAAGTACCTTTACCTGCAGAACTACCTCGTCAGACCCATCGGGAAGCTTTGCTCAGGTGCAAACCGTGATTAATCCAAGTTGATGATTGGCTTGAAGATGGCTTGAAGATTGACTATGTCCTGTCAATGGTAAACTTTGCTTGCTAGAAGCTTCTGGGAGAGACTCCCAGATGATGAAAGGGCTGTGCCAGTGAAGCAGCAGCTTTCTCATGTCCCCTAGATATTGTCATGCTCATATTTGACACTTGGATCTGGAGTGGCCATACTGGCACCTCAGGTAAGCTGAAACTCAGAAGATGGCAGACAGCTAGATGGTGGTGGTACACACCTTTAATCCTAGCACTCGGGAGGTGGAGGCAGGCAGATCTCTGAGTTCTGGGCTAGCATGGTCTATAGAGTGAGCTCCAGGACAGCCAGGGCTACACAGAGAAACTCTGTCTCAAAAACAATGAGCAAACAAACAAAGAAGATGGCACAGAGGAAAGGTGGAAAAAGAAAGTCTGACACAGGTGTTCCATGTTCATAGCAGCACTGTTGGTAATAGCAAAAGAAGTCCAATGCGAAGAAAGATGAAAAAAACTTGTGTGTTTATAAGCCATGCAGTAGAATACTATACACTGCTAAAAAGTATGAACTGTGCTAATTATCACTGCAAATGACTCTCAAAAGTACAATATTGGATGTGAAAAGTAAAGCTGACGGGTTTATATTTGAGTAGTCTAAAAGCATGTTTCAGAGAGCATATACATGGGGAAAGGTATAATGAATTGAACAAAAACATAACTACCAAGTATGGAGTGCTCACTGTGTATGAGAAGCTTCGTGCTAAAGACCAGAAATCTGAGTTCTCACACTGACCTTAAGAGAGGGGAGGGTGATTGAGAGGTGGTGGACGACACCAAGGAAACAACATTTTCCAGACACAACAGGGTGCACATGTGAACTCACAGTCTGTGACAGCATGCCCTAGGCCTGCATGGCTCAGGTCACACAAAATCCCAGAGAAGGGGAAGTGGCAGAAAGCCTCCTACCTAGTCAAGAAGCCTTTTGCAATTAATAGCTGCTAGGAAAGGGAAAATCATTTTTCCTTAGTGGAATGACACTGGGGTCAACCATACTCCGTGCTCAGTAGTTAGCCAACACAAAACAGTTTCCATTGTGCGTGTGTGTTTAGAAACAAATCTTTTTATTTTTTATTTTTATTTATTTTATTTTATGTGTATGAGTGTTTTGCCTACGTGTATGTCTGTGCACCATGTGCCTGCCTGGAAGAGGGCATCAGATCCCCTGGGACTGGAGCTACTGATGGTTGTGAGTCACTTTGTGTGTGTGAGGAACTGAGCTTGGGTCCTCGTAAGAGCTACAAGTGCTCTTAATCACTGAGCTAATTCTCCAACCCCACTTTGTTCTCAAGAGAGAGAAAGAGCATGAAATTGGGTGGATAGGGAGGGGGATCTGGGAGGAGTTGGGGTAAGAGAAAAAATACAATCAAAATACATTGTATGAAATTTTAGAAAAATAAATAAAAACAAAAAAATACCCCATAGACACACCGACAGGCCAATCTGATGGAGGCCATTCCTCCTCTGAGGTCCCCCTTCTCAAGTGATTCTAGTTTGCATCAAATTGACAAAAATACTAACCAGTACCATGTCTTTGTTACCCACAAAACTGAGTAAGCCTCCTCCTTCCCCGAAAAAAAGAGGGAAGGAGCAGGGTGGCCAGTACCCCCATTTTCCAGATGAGAACTGAATTCTGAGAGATGAAGGACATTACCCAGTGGCTCCAAATATTTAAAGCTCATTTCATTTTTTCATTTTTGTTTTTTGATGCAGGGTTTCTCTATGTATCCTGGCTGTCCTGCAACTCACTGTGTAGACCAGGCTGCCTCAGACTTTCAGAGATCTGCCTGCCTCTGCCTCCTGAGTGCCAAGACTAAACGCGTTCACCATCATTACACCAGCACCCCGAAGTTCATTTCATATTATGGATTGGAATTATCACTTTCAAAAGTGAGTGAGAGGCCTGGGGGTGCACAGAGACCAAGCTTCCTAGATGGGACCAAATGCTGATGTCTTCCAGTTCAAAAGCCTGTGCTTTCTACCAACTGGTCTCATCCATGAAGCATGGGAACATCTCTCTCTCTCTCTCTCTCTCTCTCTCTCTCTGTCTGTCTGTCTGTCTCTCTCTCTGTCTCTCTCTGTCTCTCTCTCTACACACACACACACACACACACACACACACACACACACACACACACACATCCCTCGCTTTGGAGCAGATGGAAGTGGGGGAAACCGCACACTTTGGTGAACCCAAAGCTTCCAGCCCATCATTACTGTTATTTTTAACTGAACCCTGAACTGAAGGGGACAGTGCTCAAATTGAGATGGAACGTTGTATATTTTTCCAAGCTGTTACATTTGAATGTTCAAGTAGTTCTTGAGACAGAAACCACCATGTGACAAATTCCACCATAATCTCTCCCTTCTGTATATTTTGATTTGTCTAAGGTCACATGAGTGGCCAGAGTCTAGAGACACTTAATTGCTCAGAAGGAGCCGCACAAAGTTGTTTCTTCCCACATCTCCCCTTCCCTTCTGAGCCAGGCAGTTGTTCATGGCTGTCAGTGATGCCCTCTGGGCTCCAGGCCTTCCTTCACTGAACAGACTCTTGGCCATGTTTCCTGAGTGAAGGCAGGGGCAAGCTGGGTCCTGTAAGACCCTGTATTTCCCACCATCCAAGGACAGGAAGCCATGGTTGGAACTTGATTCCTTTGAGAGGCTCCAGGCAGAACCCTCATGGTTTGGGCTGAAAAACCCAACCGTTTCACCAACAGGGAGCCTCTGTATTCTGAACAGCGGCTGGGTTGTCTCAGGAGCCAGGTGGCCTTCATCTCCTCTGGATCAGGCCAGCACAGTGCATGACCCTCCTCCACAGCAAAGATGGGGACTCGGAGGAGCCTTGGGGCCCCTGGGGAGACATTCATCTTCCCAGTCTTTATCATATTTTTCCATAACAGTACTGTCCTTTTGAGATGCAGTGGCCCAGCTGGAGGCTGAGGGCTTTCAATGCACTTTTGCTCTGTGCCGTGTCCCCAGGCCAGGCAACGGGGTGTAGTGTCTGTTGGTGAGTCCCAGCGACTGTGATAGTTTGGATTCTGGCACTATTCACAAACTGTGCAACCTTGGCTGGGGATGAGCTTCTCTGTGCTACAATTTCTCCACCTTAAAACTGGCATGGTGACCACCGGTTTTGAGGACTTACTAAGTTTCCTATGGAAAGCACCTAGAACAGTACTTTGCACACAAGCATAAGTGACATTTGCTGTTATTCTCACACTATCTTGAGCTTGGACCCTCTCCTCTCTGTCTTCAGTTTCTTCAGTCCCTCCAGGATGCCTCTTGACAGTGGCAGAGTTGAACTGGTGCTGAGCCCATTTTTAGGTTCTCTTAACTTCAGCATGCTCATCTGCAAATGTAGCTCTTGAGGAGGGGGTGGGGACAGTGATGAAATGAGAAAACAGGTGCGTATCAAGGCACAGGGTTTGACCTTGACCTCGGAAAGACTTTGGAGTTATCGATCTCGTTTGTTTTGGTGAGGAAGACCTTTCTAAGTCAGGGTAGGTTGTGCACTGTGGTTTTCTCATGCGCTGTCCCTGCTTTGCCTTATCCGTGGACACTACAGTCTAGACTGGAAGGGCATTTTACAGGTCGGTGAGTAATTCTGTCAACATCCACTGAGCGCCCATAGAAGCCAGCCACTATTACAGCCACTGGAGCTGGAGACAGAACAGAATGTAACTTCTGCCTTGTGAGCCTCCATTTCTTGGGCTGGGAACAACAGACAACTAAACACGAGAATACATAAATGCAATACATGCTCAGATTCAGTTTCCTTTCTTTTGAAGATAGGGAAACTGAGGCCCAAGGAAGAAAGAAATTTTCCTAAAGATCTCCAGTGGCCCATTCTCCAGGCAGAAGCTTCCAGGTAAATCCTCATGGTTTAGGCTGACTTATCCTCGAGACTGGACTTATCCAAGGTCTTAACATGCAATAGCATACATGTGCAGAGGCTAGAGGTCAACCTCAGTATTGTGCTTCAGCTGTCATCCATCCACTTTGTTTTGTTTTTCAAAACAGAGGTCCTTTGTGTAGTCCCGGCTGTCCTGGAACTCACTCTGTAGACTAGACTGGCCTCAAACTGAGATCCACCTGCCTCTGTCTCCCAAGCACTGGGATTAAAGGTATGTGCCAACTCAGCTCACTTTGTAAATTTGAGGCAGGGTCTCTCGTTGTAACCTACAGCTCACAGAGTGAAGGTCAGGGGTCTGCATGTCTGTCTCCTCAGTCTTGAGATCACAAGCCTGTGCCATGGGACCTGTTTTTTTTTTTTTTTTTTTTTTTTTTTTTTTTTTTTTTTTTTGCATGGAGTCTGTACAGCGCTGAGCCATCTCCCCAGCCCCGTTTTTTTGCATCTTAAAACATTTCATCCTCCAGTCAAGTTTGGGCTGGGGGATTGTCACACGTCTTAGTTTATAGTGGGGGAAATGAGGCACAACAAGGGGGAAGTAACAGAGTTCAGATATAGACCCCTGGCTTTAGGCTATCCACACACCCTTCCCTGGCTTCCTTTCCATTCTGAGGGGCCGGGTGGAAGGCCTGTCCTCTTTCTGGCTTCACTTTCCCCATGGGTGAATTGAGGGGCCTTCCTTGATGGCTGCTTTTTCCTGTGACATTTAGTTGTTCTCTAGTGTACCTTCCTACCAAGCAGGGTGAGCTCCAGGTAGCCAGCAGCGTCTCCGGAGGGCTTGGCTCTCTGCCTGGTATGTCGTAGACCCTCACTAGCTGTGGAGCAAGAACCGAGGGAAGCACGGCGCTTGCCCACGGTTCTCGAGGCTTGCTGGGGAACTCCTGTGGGCCTTCTCTCTGGGTTCTCAGCCCAGGCAGCTGTCTTCCCCTCCTCCCACCCTCGCACCCAGCCCTCCATCCGGCCTGCATTTTTCCGGGTTTGATATCATTTTTTCCACTCTCCCGGCTGCTGCCGGCGGCCTCTGCCAACTTTCCACAGCTACAGCCTCCCACCCCCATTCTCGACCGCAGACCAGAGACAACTTCGGGTGGGGAGACCCTCCTCCGCTTCCTGGGCATGACTGGTGACCAGGGAGTTGGTGAGCCTGGGGGAACTGGACACCCCAGGGCACGTTTTTCCTGCACCTCATCCTTTGGACTGGGCCATGGGTGACCCCCGTGCAGGGTCCAGGAGTATGGGGGCACAGTTGGTTGGAGGCAGGGGTGTCAGGAGTTAGAGACAGGATGATCCAAACTGTTTGCATCTTGTTCTCTTCTCGAAGTAATGTCAGTCCCACCTCCCCCATCCTAACGAAATGGAAACTCCTGACCTGACCCCTACACCCAGCTGGGTCCCGAGCCAAGTGGGAAGCCTCACCAGTCCTTCATCCCTCACAGCCAAGGGAGGTCAGAGGAGGGGGCTGGGTCCTGGGGGCCTGGAACTCACTGACTGGTGACCCTGGAGTGCTCTCTGCTCCTCTCGGGGCTTCACTTTCCACATTTGGAAAACGAATGCACTGAACTAAATTAGTGTCTATCCTGGGATTAATGGACTGAGTTCCATGGAATTCATGCCAGCCCCCTTAAATTATATGCAAAATCGTGTTAGAAAATTTACATCCTCCCATTATTTTGAGCTAGCACCTGGCTACATAGACCTGGCTGGCCTGGAACTTGCTTTGTAGACTGGTTTGGCTTTGAAGTTTCATGGGGAATCCTCCTGCCTCTGCATTCCCTGAGTGTTAGGATTGTGGGTATGCACCTAGTTTCCCCCTCCCTTCCCTGGAAGGCTAGATTGGCTTGAACTCTAGATTCCTCTGCCTCAGCCTCCTGAGTTCCGTGTTTATAGGCATGGGCCAATATTCCCTCACCTTCCTCATAGAATTTTAGCACTTTTTTCCTTTCTTTCTTTTTCTTTCCTTTTTTGCAGTGCTAGGGTTTAAATCATTGCCCTCGCTGTGCCAAGAAGCTGGAACCCTCAGTCACATCTGTGTGTAGGTCAGAGGTCATCGGCCCACCTTGTTTTCAGAGACAAAGCCTCTGACTGGCCCCAGGCTCATCAAATAAGGCAGGATGGCTGGCTTGAGTTCCAGGGATCCACTAGTCTCTCTCTGACTCCTAGGTGCTGGGGTTACAGGATTGTAGCACCAGGCTGGCTCTTTGCCTGAGTTTTGGCATGGAACTCAGGACCTCATCTTCTTAGCTCCATTTCTTTCTTTCTCTTTCTTTCTTTCTTTCTTTCTTTCTTTCTTTCTTTCTTTCTTTCTTTCTTGTTTTGTTTTTGGAGACAGGATTTCTCTGTGTAACAGCCCTAGCTGTCCTGGAACTCACTCTGTAGACCAGCTTGTCTTGAACTCACAGAGATCCATCTACCAACAGCCTTGGCTGTCTAGGAATTCACTTTGTAGGCCAGGCTGGCCTCGGACTCACAGAGATCGCCTACCTCTGCCTCCCAAGTGCTGGGATTAAAGGTGTGCACCACCACCACTCACCCTCATCTCAGCTCTTTATTGACTGAGCTATTCACCCTACCTCTCCTAAAGAGGACTGTGGCAAGGGGATTGTAGGACCTGGAATCTTTGTGCATCACTGAAAGACACTGTGTGTTTCTGAGTTCCTGCCTTCCCTCTCTGAACCCCACTTTTCCTAAGTAGCAAGAAGAGGTTAGTAGTCACACTCTGCTCTTAGGCGTTGTTCAGACATCACACACACAAACATAAAAATGACAGGAGCTGGGTGTGCAGCTCCAGGCTAGAGCTTCCTAGCACGTGTGACAGGGTGACAACTTGGCACAGTCAGCTCACACAATCAGAAGCAATCCATTACAGTGCCAGGATGAGTTCTCAAGAGACAACATTTTGTGGTTCTAGAATCTAAAAAATGAGTTAAGGAGCAAACAGCAGGTACTCAGCATTGTGGTGTTCATGTGACCCACAGTGTGTCTGTCTTTTTGTTTGTTTGTTTTTCGAGACAGGGTTTCTCTGGAGCTTTGGAGACTGTCCTGGAATTAGCTCTTGTAGACCAGGCTGGGCTTGAACTCACAGAGATCCGCCTGCCTCTGCCTCCTGAGTGCTGGGATTAAAGGCTTTCGCCACCACCGCCCAGCAGTATGTCTGTCTTAGGGCCCAGGTTAGAAACTAAATCATACAGTTGGGAGAAGGGCCTGAGCACATAATTAATTCACTGACTTTATTGATTGTCCAAGACATCAAGGCCAGCAGGCCAAACCAGTCTACAGTCAAGTTAGGTGTTTGGAGAGGAGGTGGAGATGTCTAGAAGAGCCCAGGGAGAGAGGTCCATGCATCAGACACACATCCTGGACTGGCTTATTGTGGAACATTCTGAGAGTTGGTCAGAGCCCAGGGACAAGAAAGAGTTTTACAAAAAGACACCCACCCTGTAAAAAACAAAACAAAATAAAACCCTACTTGTGCCCAGCTTGGGTTTATAGCCCCATAGTGCACCCACCACTTTCCCAGGGAGAAAGGGTCCTCCAAACCCTGGTTCCTGGTGATGCTCTCTGGCCATCCTGACAACAGGCAAGGTCCACCACTCAGACTCCAGGCGACACACCTCTAGCCCTCAGTGGCACCACAGTGTCCCATCACCCCAGAGAGGTGCTGGCTTCAGAGCACAGCCAGGTTGTGGCAGGACTTGGAGCGGGCCTTGAGTGCCCGGCGTTGTGTGCTGCGTGCTGTCAGGCGCGCCAGGAAGCGGCGGGCACGCTGGCCCAGGCTGGCCCGTCGTCGCGGTGATGGTGCCTCTGAGGCCATGCTGTCCTGGCGGCGCAGGCGCAGTTGGCGCACCACGCCCTCAAAGAGCTCCATCACATTGTGCTGCAGAGTGGCTGAAGTCTCGATGAACTTGCAGTCGAACACCACTGCGCAGGCGCGGCCCTCTGCGGTGAGCAGAGCCAAAGACAGAAGGCAGAGATAAAGGGGGGCAAGAGATGTGTTCAGACTTTCAGGAAGCCCCGGCCCCCACCAGGGTTTCTTTGTGTGGCCTTGGCTGTCCTAGAACTCGCGCTCTTCAGACTAGGCTGGCCTTGAATTCACAGAGATCCTCCTGCCTCTGCCTCCCTAGTGCTGGGATTAAAGGTTTGCGAGCAATTTCCCAGATGCCTACTTAAGTGGTTCAGGTGTCAGGGGACCCAGGGGCAAATATGCGGAGCTTTGAGACATCAGCTCGGTCTAGGGACTGACTGGTACTCAGCAGAACGAGGCTGGGAAGATTCCCCTTTATCAGTAGGGGCCGTTTTAAGATCTTTATGGGCCCCACTAGAAAGATGAAATTTATTAAACTCTTCTTCTCCCACCGCAAATACAACTAATACCTACCTTTGAAAGTTTTGGCTTGTAATTACTGACCAATACACTAAGTGTTTCATCCAAAACTTGAATTTATAATCTCCCCAATTTATACAGGAGCCACTAGTGGCTGTTTTCAAGCTGGTAGACATTGGATGTAGGGAGGGTGTGTCTGATTATCAGCTGGGGGAGCTACAGGGAGAATTTTAAGTAAAGGTCACAAGGTAAGCTGTGGTTCTGGAAGTCTCTGTCAGCTATCAAGGAGGAATGATCATATAGGGATAGAGAAATATAGGCACTGGCTGGGACAAAGTGGGGGTGGCAGGACAGGACAGAAGTTTGGGGTGTGGAGCGAGAGGCCTGTAGGACTTGGGTATCGATTTGGGAGGTGAGAGAGGATGAGACCAGGTAGTAAGTAGCTGAAGGAGTGCGCCAGGCTGGGGGCACAGACAGACCTCTGGAGTCAGCAAGCCTGAAGGAGAGAGGAGAGGAGGGTAGAGAACTCACCTTCTACCGAGACCTCCCGGCAGCGGGCCAGGTCTGCCTTGTTGCCCACCAGGATGATGGGCACGTGGTCGGCCCGATGCGTGCGCCTCAGCTGGATGCGGAGCTCTGAAGCGCTCTCGAAGCTGCTGCGATCTGCGATGGAGTAGACGACGATGTAGGCGCTCCCTGCCTGCAGGCACGACTCCCGGCTCCAGCTTTCATCCTGCGGGGGAGGGATCCCAGGCCCATCCTCAGAGGGTGCCTAGCCCTGGCTGACAAAGAGGCTTTGTTGGTCTAAAGGGTAGAGTGGGTAGAGGTTCTACTCTGGATAGTTTTGGGGAACAAATTCTATCGTAGTGCCCGGTGTCACCTTGGGAAAACCGCTGATTGTCCGAGCCTCAGTTTTTTTGCTCGGAAATCTGATGTACGCTACATTGCTTTCTTCCCTTGACTGCTTCACGCTAGGGACTACAGACAGAAATTGGGTGGGGACCCTCTCCTGCAAAGAAGGGTCTAGCTAGCTTTGCCTGTTCAGCCTCTTCCTTCTCCTCTCCCTCGCCCCCTCCTGTTCTTTTTAACAAGGTCTCACACTATAGCACAGAGTGGTTTTGAGTTTGAAGCAATTCTCCTGCCTCATCCCCTGGAGTGCTGGGCCTATATGTGCAGCCCATTAGACTACACATATAGGCCCAGCTATATCTACTTTGTGAGGAGAGTTTGGTCTTGGGACACAGTTCTTTAGTCTTTCTGTAATGCAGAATTAAAAGAAAAAAGGAAGAGAGGGCCATTGAGAAGGCTCATTGGGTAAAAGTGCTTGCAGTGAAAGCCTGAATATGATTCCCGGATCCCACAGTGGGAGGAGAGAACCAACTCCAAAAGTGGTTCTCTGACCTCCACACCTGCACATGGAAAGTGTATCCCAGCACTTATACACACGTCACCACACCTATACAGCATACACACTCACATAAAACTGGTAAAAAAAAAATGTGTGTGTGTGTGTGTGTGTGTGTGTGTGTGTGTGAGAGAGAGAGAGAGAGAGAGAGAGAGAGAGAGAGAGAGAGAGAGAGACAGAGACACACAGAGACACAGAGAGAGACAGAGAGACAGAGACACACAGAGGAGAACAGAAGGCTGGATTCAGGGGAGGCCTTTCTCAGTAATTTTGGAGAGAGAGCCGAAAGGTCACCTGAGAGTGTGAGGACAGAAAGGTATGGAAAGGGACACTTAAGAAGTAGAGCTCTTTCTAGTCATTTGACCAAGGAAAGGCAAACCAGAATAATGGAGACAGTGCTCCAAGAGTGTAGATTTCAAGCCTTTAATGAGATCTAGTTCCCGTCCTCAAGTCTCATGTTCTGGAAGGCAGGCTATGGGAAAGGGAGGTACAGCCCAGGGTGGGCAGGGCCATCAGGAGGGCCTACAAAAGTGGCAGAGGAAGCAGAGTGGTGTGAGGTGTCAGGTAAAGCCTGAACAGTTTGGGAGGGATCCAGTGGGCAGGGTTTGAAAGAAAGGAGGAGCAGGCCCAGCAGGCAGGCAGGCAGGCAGGCAGTCCAGAGGGACACGTCTGTCTTAGCAGCTAGGTGGGAAAGGCTGCGTGCGAGGAACTGTAGGGGAGGAAGATGCTAGAGTGCGACAGGTGAACAGAGAAGTATCAGGCCCTCGGCAGGGGTGGGTGTGCACACTCAACGGCTGTGCTGATCATTTCTCAGGCCAAATAGCCTTTGGGTAGAATCAGACAGATGCAGACTCTCAGGCCCTAGAGGACAGGGCACCAGCTAAAGTGCTTACTGAACTCAATGAGGATCTGAGTTTGATTGAATTTGGTTTCCAGAACCTACATTACAAAAAAAATATCAAAACCCCCCAAAAACCTGGCTGCAGTGGTGAGGCCAGAGGATAACTTTCAGGAGTGGATTCTCTCCTTCCACTCTGGCTGTCAGGATTGGTGGTAGGCACCTTTGCCCAGCCTTGCCATCTTGAGCCCCCATGCCTGGCTTCTGATTGGTCTGCCCAACTCACTGACTACCCCACAGTATTCCACTACATCCAGAAGCAGTGCTTCCCCGTACTGGCCCTCGGGCTCCACGAGGCTAGCACCTTGTCTGACTCATTCGCTCCAGGGTCTTCAGCATCCTGGCCCACTTTAGACGCCTAACAAGCGTTTCCAATGAAGGAGCAAGCGAAGAAGTGAAACTTAAGCTGAAGGCTCAGAAAGTGATGCCTCCAGGGCAGATGGAGACACAGTCCCAGTATAAGCCGTGGAGTCTGTGGATCTGGGCATCAGTTTGCCTGCTCTCTGAAACTTTGGACACGTTAAGCCCTCTGAACACCTGTTTCCTTGTTGACAGAAAGGTAAGTAGAAGACCAACTGTATGCTTAGCTTTAACGGCATGCCACAGTGTATGGCAGGGCTTTTCAGTGTTAGGGGGAGAAGGGTGTGCTCCATAAACCCCAGTTGCTGTTTTAAGAACACCGTTATGCTCACCCCCACCTGGACTTCCTTTTATACTTGTTGAAAGATACCAGACATGGTGATGCATTCCTGTAATTGCAGCACTGGGGAGGCTGAAGCAGGAGAATCAAGAATTTGATGCCAGGGCTGGTGAGATGGCTCAGTAGATAAAGGTGCCTGCTGCCACAAGTCTGATGGTGCAAGTTCAATCCCCGGGCCCATAAGGTAGGAGGAGAGAAATGATTTCAGCAGATTGTCTTTTGACTTCTGCATGTGTTTATACCCCCACACACAAAATAAAAATATACAACAAAAAATGTAAAAAATGGAGATGCACAGGGAGGCCCTATCTATCTCAAAGAACAAAAAGGAATGCCCACATAGCTCCTTTTTCCTCTTCTTTGGTTCTGTTGGCAATGCTGTCAGCCACTGAACACTGCTCATGTATTTTATTTTTGAAACAGGGTCTTTTCTACACAGACCTGGCTGTCCTGGAACTCGCTATTCAGTTCAGGCTGGCCTCAAACTCACAGAGATCCACCTGCCTCTGCCTCCTGGGATTAAAGCGGTGTGCTACCAAGCCAGGCCCAACACTGTACTCTAAGCTTCCTTTAGGGGACTTAAGTTTAGGAAAAAGGTGACAGACACAACTAGCCACTCCTTCATGTTTTCTTGTGGGGGGTCTGTCTTTTCTGGTGCTCAAAAAGCCCCATTGGGTGTCCATGTTTCCTAATCCATGAACATAGTACTTGGCACATGACAGGCAGGTTCAGGACCATGGGTTTTGTCAGTTGAATCCCTTTAGAGAGAGGATATACCCATTGATGTGTTGATCTCTCTCTCTCTCTCTCTCTCTCTCTCTCTCTCTCTCTCTTTCTCTCTCCCTCCCTTTTTGAGACAGAATCTCATGCAGCCAAGGCTAGTCTTGAACTCACCATGGCTTTAAACTTCTGCATCCTTTTGCCTTTAGTTACTGGGACTACAGTCATGCACCATCATACCTAGTTTGTGCTGGGGATTGAACTCAGAGCCTTGTAATTCAGAGTGAGTCAAAAGGTACTCTACTAATTGAGCTGTATCCCCAGTTCATGTTCAATTAATTAACTAATCAAAAACCCTACAATAAGCATATATTACCCGTGTAACAAGAGGAAAGTAGATTTAAAAAAGAAAACCGTCGCCTTCCTGTTCTGGCAGGGGGAAGGGGAGGGTAGCCTTTGGGTTTCCTCCCTAGCTATCACAATCACCCAGACAGTTCTCACTCCTGCTTAGCACTCTTTTCATGCTCTACCCTCGGCTCACCACTGCACACCTGCACCAGAGTTTTTTTTTATAACCAGCTGATGATGTGGCTAGGGTACATCTAGCTTAGTGGGAAGACACACGCAGAGCTGGCTCTAGGTCCTCCTGGGTTTGATCCTCAGAACCTTTGTAAACAAATAGCAGTAGGAAAAAAAAAATCAGCTAATAAGGAAGGAATGCTTGACCCATTTATCAGATGAGAAGATTGAAATTCAGGGTAAGTCTATTAATTGCACAAAGCTCATAACTAGTAAGAAAAAGGAAGGTGTGTGTGTGTGTGTGTGTGTGTGTGTGTCCCCTTAGGGATTTTGGGGTCCAATCTAGCAGTTTTTGTTTTGCCAAATGTGGGAGTGGCCGTAAAGATGCAGAGGTGTACAAAGGAGAAGTGCATTCTGGGGTGTCTGCTGGAAGGGGGGTTGGTGGAGTGAGGAAGGAAGTTAAGGTTATGAGGTTCTTCTGCTTTAGGAAAAGATACAGGTCTGGGAGAGAGGCACTGAGGCAGGCCCCCGCCCTAAGCCGTGCTGATATGCTCCAGGAGGAGATAGGCATCTAATGTTAGTTTTAGCATCCCTCACCCAAAGCAGGCTTACAGTGTCATACCAGTTTCTCGGCCTCCCAGGTGTCCATGACGACCAGGGTGGTGTCCTCTCCATCCACCGATAGTGTTCTCTCGTACACATCTGCAATCAAGCGGGGGAGTAGAATCTCAGGGTGGAGCAGGCCATTGGAGACAGTGTTCCCTCACTTCCCCTTTGTGTCAGCCAGTCATTCCTTCACATTTCCTTGGGGTAGGGAATCTTGTCTTTCCTGGTGGTCCAAAGCCCCTGTTAGGTGGCCATGTGTCCCCACTGAGAGCATAGTACTTGTGACATGGCAGGCAGGTGCGAGAAACTAGGTCTTGGCAGTAAATGAATGTGGGATTAACCGGGGCATCCTCCCCAGCCTGCTCTGACTCTAGCTTAGGCAGGTCACGTTATCTCGGACCTCGGTCTCCCCATCTGTAACACACACATGTGCATATGCACATTACTTCCAGGAAAGCCAACGCTGGAGAGGGGGCCTGTCCAGATGGTCCCCATCTTCTCTCTGTGTTTAGCCACTCCTTTTCTACATACCTCGAGTCCTCAAAGCCGGCCCTGTCATCTGTCCGACTCCTGTATCTGATTGTCCTGGGGCCCATGGTCCTACAGTTCCTGCCGTGTGTTCAATGCATTTTGGGGGAATAAAGCGATCCAGAGCTCAGAACTGGGGGTCTGAAAGCCTCTGTTTAGGAAGAATGTTAGTTTTGTTGTGGGTCTTGGTGGCTGAGGGATGGGAGAGGAGGGGGGTTGAGAGTCAGGAGGGCTTGGGGCTGGGAGTTTCTGAGCTGGGTGGAAGCCTGTCATTTCTTGACACCCATAGTTTCATCCCTTACGGAGATAAATAATGTACCTTTCACCCAGTTTCCCTCCTTTAGGCCCTGTCCAGGTTGTGTCCTGCACAGCTAGATGAGCATCATTTACTTCTTAGTATGTGTGACTGCCCCTATAATGATCGGTGTGTGACCTGCACACCTCTTTCTGTAGTCCTGTGCCCCTGGTGGCAGGCTTTTCAGTCCTGTGACTGCAGCCTGGGCTCACCTCACAGGCCTCCTACCTCCCATCTGTTCATGAAGGTCCCGCTCTTGCTTCCCTGCGAAGAGGCTGGCCAGGCTGGTCTTCCCAACGCCGGGGTCTCCTAGCAGCACCACTCGGTAGAGGGCCTCCCAAGAGCCTTCAGAGTCGCTGGATTCAGAGGACCACCCATCCTGGGCTGGAGAGGGTTTTCGAATGGGAGGGTTGAGGGAAGCTGACTGACCCAATCGGGGATGATGGGATTGAGGAGGGGGTGCTGTGCACAGGCGGCCAGGCTGCTGCCCGCGGGATGACAGGGGTAATGGAGTGCTGGCTCTACGGCGCAGGGTGGTCTTCGCTTCCTGCTGGGTATTAAGTGTCATCCTCAGTGGAGAGGTCTCTCTCTTCTCGGGCTCCTTCCTTCCTTCCTTCCTTCCAAAAGAAGGGAGCTGGGCAGTAAGTCCGTGGCCCGAGTCCCTTCTTCTTTGGGTGCTGATAAACTGTGGCACTGACTCCCTCCAGACTCCTCTCTGGTTCAATTGGGGGGAGGCTCTACAGCTCCTTGGTGTTGGGGGTTGCTGGTTTCAGGCCTAGAGTCCACCGGGGTCCACCTAGAAGGGGCGAGGGCACAGGCTGTGAACACACACAGATGCACACACCCAGAAGCAGATTCCCAAATTCTGAGGGTGACCCTTTCCCCATGACACAGAGAAGCGGAGAGGTGCAGCAAGCTGGGGCATCTAAAGCATCGATAGCACATGCCATCCGGGAGCCATCTCTCCCCTTCAGGATTTGAGACCTCCCTACAGAAAGCATCGGACGCCCCAACCCCCCTTCCCCACTGGTCTCCTTCACTTGTTCAGGGTTGGGGGTGCTGAGGAGGGTTGAGGCCTCTGGGAAGTTTATTCCGGCTGCTTGATACCCCCTCAGCCCCCGCCCCCAGCAGAGTTTGAAGAGGAAGGGCGGGCGCGTTGGTGCCCCACAGGGGCGAGGGGCTCTGGGGATCTCTCTGGCTGTAACCCGAGTGCCCGGGTGCCATGGGAACGGCGTGCCCGGCCCGCCCCTGCGTGAAAAATTCAGGAGCCGCTGGCGCCATGGCCTCTAGCTTTTGTTGGGGGGCAGAAGCCGCGAGGGACCCAACAACTGGTTTGGTGATAGAACAGGGTGCATCAGGGGAGCCTATCGGGCTCGGCAATCAAGTGCCCTTTCAGGGAGTCTGGGCTGGAACTTTCCCAACTCGCGGTCCTGTATGTGAGTCCCACGTCCTTGGGTGCTCGGGTGTGGTGGTGGTGTCCCTTGTGCTAGGCTCCCCCACCCTCGGAGGCTCCAGATCTGCCGCCCCGAGCCCCTCAGGACGCGGGTTCGAGGCTCCCTGTCCTCGGGCCACGCGGCATGCAGACGACCTGAGAACTCCGCCCGGACAGGCAAGTTTACCTTGACGCGCCGCGGAGGCTCCGAGTGCCCGCTGCTGCTCCAGCTGCTGGGTACTCCGCTATCCCCCCGGCCTCGGCACACAGCCCCTCGGGCCAGTCCCGCCCGGTCCAGAGCCACCCCGCCCCGTGCGGCCCCGCCCTGTCAAGGCAGCCCGGGTCCCCGCCCTGCAGACCTCCGCCTCCAGTCCTCCCCGTGGGGGTGGCCGTGTAGGAATGGGGTGCGGGAGAGGGAGTTTATTCCTAGGTCTGGATGTCCCTCTGGGTCCACGTTTGTTCCCTCCACCTACGGGGTACACAAACTTCAGCCCTGGACGGAAGACTCTGGGGGAATTTGGTTCAGAGTCCCAGGTTCCACCGACCAAGGGAGGAGATCCGCAGGGCTAGGCTCAGGGCTCTGGAGTCTGCATTTTAAACAAATGCCCAAGTGATAACTGATAAAGATAATTCATAGAACATACTCTGAGAAAGTTCTGGGTGGCGGGTTGATTCTGGAAAGGGGCCTTGGAGGAAGAGAAAGCCTATGTGCTCTGTAGTGAAGAGTTGGGAATGTCTGATTCTGATATCATTAATTCACTCATCATCCACTTGCTCGTGATGAGCAGGGACTAAAGTGTCTGTCTTTTAGTTTACTGTTTCCCTTAAAAAAATACTTAAGAAAACATTTATTTATTGGGAGGTGGGCAGGGAGAGTGTGCCATGCCTGTGTGGATGCCAGAGGATAACTTGTACGAGTTGATTCTCTCCTTCTACCATGTGGGTTTTTAGCACTGAACTCAGGCTTGGCAGCAAGTGCCTTTACCTCACTGGCCCTATCTGTCCATCAGTTAGTTACTCATTTAAACCTTTGAAGGAATGTGGGAGCAGGAAGACACTGACTGATCTTGGCAAAAGAGAAAGAAGCTGGCTGCAAGGCCAGGACTCAAGTTCTGTGAGTGGGGAGCCCATTTAGCTCTTGAGAGGTTCAGGTATGTGGGAGGGGCTGTGGAGGCCACACTGTACCTGTGGGTGGGGCCCCTGGTCATGGTTGAGGGGCTCCAAGTGCCTGGCTTGGATCAGATCCACATAGCAAGGTAGGCTGGCTCAACCCCCGTAGTAACAAACTCCCTTTGGTCTGACTCCCTTCCGCAGCCTGGAGATCAGGCTCTGTTGGACTCCAAGTTTCAGTAGAACAGAGGCTTTCAGGTTGTGCCTTGCCTTGGGTGACCCCATTTTAAAAAGTGGCAGTTGGCTTCATTTTGATTATACCTGCAGAGTGGAATATAGACATTACCACCTGTTGAGTACCACCTACGGCACAGAGACCAATAGACAATTTAGTCTTATAAGGGAAAAAGCACCCTCTGTTAGCTTATCAAATCAGACTGGGACCATATAGGCTCATTGGTGTATGGAGACTGCAGCATAAAAACATACAGAACACCGGACTAGTCGAGGGCATAGCACCCTCACCAGGACCTCATAAAAAGGACAAGTGATGCAGCCATGGCAACATTCCCACAGACCTGTCTTGTGACCACCTGCGCTCTCTCTCTCTCTCTCTCTCTCTCTCTCTCTCTCTCTCTCTCTGTGTGTGTGTGTGTGTGTGTGTGTGTGCGTTTGAAGGGACCAACAGACCTGCCAGTTATCTGGGGTTTTAGCTCAGTAGAATCTCTACCACTTGACACGGTCTGATTGAATTAGCATTCATCCATCCACAATCCATCTAGTCATCTGGCCAGACTGGTGCTGCCTACCTCCCTGGCTCACAGTTCAGCCCTTTGTCTGGGCTCTGTGAGCCTCCAATGGCTCTCCACTTGTGTTGTTAGTATGTTGTCTAACCACTGGCAGGGACTTCTCTGGTTCCATTTGCCCTCCGCCTCCTCTAATATCCCTTGAACTCTGTGGCTGCTTTAACCCCTTTGTAGCTCTTCTATAACACACACACACACACACACACACACCACACACACACAGATATAGACCTGTATAGACAGGTACCTGCATAAAACTCTGTGAACTGTAATATTAATGCTCAAGATTGGAATAAAAGAACCTAAGATTGCCAAGGGCCAATTATCAAATCAGGACTGCATCCAATTACATGAACATAGCTTGTAGATTTATTGTTATTCAATAAATTCTAGTCTTGGGGAAAGACACAGATGTTAGAAACATTTAGCTTGGTTGCCTCAGCCTCCCTGTTCTACCTGCAGGATGGGCTGTGCTGGACAAGCACCCTCTACAGTCTGAGAGTACAGTGACTTGGTTTCCTGTAACTCTGTCACTGTGACCTTATGCAAGGGAACTCCCCTCCTTAGGCTTTAGTCTCTTGATTTAAAATTGTAATCTGCCAGATGTGGTGGTATGCTTCCTAATTCCAGCACTTGAGAGCTGAGGCAGGAGGGTTGTGAGTTCTAGTCAGCCTGGGCTGCACAGTAAGTTCTAGGCCAGTTTTTATGAAAATTTAAATATTGACCAAGATGGAATTTGGTCAGGACGATCACCTGAGAACTTTCTGGCTGTGTGGCCTTGAGGCACCTGTTGGTGGGGTTTACATGGACAAAACTCACAGGGCATGGCACTGTTTTAACTCCCAAGGAAAAAGTAACTAGGGGTAAACTTTCTAAAACAAAGCAAATGAATGTGTTTTTGTCTATGACATAAAAGCCTGAACTTGCCATAAGACATCATGGTCTGTAGCCAGCCCAGCCTCTTGTAAGTAGGTCTCCCCATGTGACCTGCCCTTTCGGGCCTGTTCTGCTCCCTCTGCCAGGGATACCCTTTCTCTTCTCATCTTTCGTGATGTAACCTAGACGCTTATGTAAGCTCTGTGCATGTATTATCCTGGTGGCTCAGTCTATAGTGATGTCTTAGAAAAGCCTGGAAGACTTCCATGGCTCTTTGAGTCAGAAATTTGGGGTAGGGCTACAGAATTCTCATTTCTCTCAGGCAGGGTTTGCTGCTCCAGGGACTACACTTTGAGACCCTTGTGTTATTCAATGCTCCGGAGGTGGTTATTGCTGTCTATGAGCTAAGTGCTCTTCCATTTTCAGAATAGGCTTAAAGGCTAGAAAGATGGCTCAGCGGTTAAGAGCACTGACGATTCTTGCAGAGGACCCTGGCTCAGTTCTCAGCACCCACATGGTGGTTCACAACCATCCCTAACTCCAGTTCCAGGGATCTATTCCCACTTCTGACCTCTGAAGGCACCATGTGTACACATGGCGCAATACATACATGCAGACAAAACACACAGAGTAAAATGAATAAATCTAGTACGAAATTAAAAATAAGGCAATTAATTAAAAAAGGAAAAGGACGCTAATCTGCATTTAGTAAATGGAAGCCTGGGACTCTTCAAGGCTAAGTGATTTGTTTAAGGTCTGGGGTGGTTAGGGAGTGGATTAGCTACTTTTGGCACTGGCATGACAAAACACCTGGCAAAAGCAGCTTAAGGAGGAAGGGTTTATTTGCCTCACAGTTTGAGGGCACAGCTCATTAGGGTAGGCAGCAGGAGTGGGAGGCAGCTGGTCACATTGTATCTTTGTGTGGGGAGGAAGGGAGGGGGGATGTTGGTGCTCAGCTCACTTTCTCTTTTTCATCCAGTCCAGGATGATCCGTCCTGGCCCATCAAATGGCTGTTCACAGTTAGAGTGAGTCTCCCCGCGTCCATTAACCCACCGAGATGCTTGCTCACAGGCATACCTAAATGTTGGCCTCCTGAATGATTCTAGATGCTGTCCAGTGGACAGTCAGTTTTGGCAATCCTATGGGAAGATGCTGGCCATTCTCAAGTGTTTTCTTATTCTCTCAGCTGGAAAGAATCATCGCTTCTCCCTGCCCCCCTTGGATGGACCCCAGGGCCTTGCAGCCTCTGGAGGATATGACTGACTGGTCCAAGCAGAGCTGGCCATGAGAGAGCTAAACAGCCCTGGAATCACGTGGCTGCACCCTCCCACCTGGGCTTGCTG